TAAAACGACGGCCAGAGCCAAGCTTGCAGGCCTGCAGGTCGACTCTAGAGGATCCCCTCGACGAAAAAGTTTGGAGCCAAGAGGTCGCAGGTTCGAATCCCACCGGTGGCAAATTGTTTTTGAAAGTGTTTTTTGGGGTTTTCAAGCGCGGGAAATTCGAAAATTGAGGTTTTCTGAAAATTTTGAAAATTGAAAAATCTCAAAAAATCAAGAAAATCGCATTTTCTGAGATTTTTAACCTCGATTTTCGAATTTCCCGCGCCTGAAACCCCCTAAACAAGATTTCAAAAACAATTTGCCACCGGTGGGATTCGAACCTGCGACCTCTTGGCTCCAAACTTTTTCGTCGAAAATCCCACTAGGCCATCCGAGCAAGTTTTTGAAAAATGTCATTTCTAGGCTGAAAATAATGGTTTTAAAGCTGTTTCTGAGCATAAAAATGGCCTAGATACCTCTAGACAAAAACCACGGAAAAAACTCGAAAAATCTAGAAAAAACGCTGAAAATCGAGTTTTGAGCTTCTGGTACCATTATAATGAGCTTTTTCAAGCTAATCAATTTAAGCTGAGCAATCCAAATCTTTCCAGGAATCCTACGAGAGCTATCTGAAAGTGAACAACGGCAAGAATCTGTTCAAATCGATGCGTACGCCGACGGTCCTGGTCACTTTAATGATTATTGATTACATTTTCCAAGAATTCTTCCAACTGCTGGGATTGAACGCTATTGCTGGTAGGGGTTTTTTTTTGGCTGAAAATGCTGAAAATGGCCTTTTTTAAGCCAAAAATCCATGTTTCCAGGCCTCTTCTCATCGATTCTGTGCATTGTGATCGGGGCGCTCGGCGTGTGGGCGTATTCCAGATATTCGGGACACTTGCGTGAGGCTGGTGGATATGTAAGTCTGTCAGAGTGGAAATGGACCTCAAAATTGAGGAAAACCGGCTGAAAATGAGCATTTTTACGCTAAAAATCAATTGGTCTCTTTTGGCCCATTTTAGACTCATTTTGGCTGTTTTGGAGCATGAAATCGTTATTTTAAGCTCAAAAACAGGCTCAGGACGTCTTAAAACCCCCAAAAACCCCATTTTCAGTCCAAAAATCACATTTTTCGTGAAATTCGGAAAATTTGCACGGATGGCCTAGTGGAATTTTCGACGGGAAATTTTGGAGCCAAGAGGTCCCGGGTTCGAATCCCATCGGTGGCAAATTGTTTTTGAAACTGGTTTTTGGGGTATTCAGGCGCGTGAAATTTGAAAATGGCTCAAAATTGAGAAATATGGCATAAAATTGCCCTTTTTGGCTCATTTTCAGCCATTTTTCTCAATTTTGTGCAATTTTAGACTCGATTTTCGAATTTCCCGCGTCTGAAAACCCCAAAAAACGTTTTCAAAAACAATTTGCCACCGGTGGGATTCGAACCCGGGACCTCTGGATCCAAATTTTTCGTCGAAAATCCCACTATGCCATCCGAACAAAATTTGCAAAAATCGAGAAAAAATCGATTTTCGGACCGAAAACTGGGTTTTCGGGGGTTTTGATGCGTCCTGAGCCTGTTCTTGAGCGTAAAAATGACGGTTTCCTGTGCTTAATCGCTCAAATTCAGCCAAAAATGCTCATTTTAGTATTTTTTTTCGATTTTTTGCTATTTCAAGCTATTTCCAGCCAATTTTAACCCAACTTGTTGCAGGTTGACGACGCTGTAACCTATGTGTGGACCAATTTCATCTCGCCAAACGCCAATCACCTGGGACCGCTGGGCGGTGCGATTCAGATGGGTGACGCGTTGGGATCCGGAAATCGGACTACGAACTCTACCAATTCGGATAACAAGAAGAGAAACTAATTTTTGAAATTTGTTTTTTTTTTCCCCCGAAAAATTTGAGCTAAAATGGTCCAAAATAGCTGAAAATCCAATTTTTTTTTGCTTTTTTCCAAATTTTCTTTCTCCAAAATATCCAAAACATTAGCAATTTCATGAGCAATTTCGCCAGTTTTTCTCCCTAATTTTTTTCTGAAAAAAAAAAAAAAAATTTGAATTTCCCGCCAAATTTTCTCCCGAAATGGTACTAATTACCCCCCCCCCCCACCAGCGTCTCTTTTTTGTGTGTATTTTATTGTTTTTCGTATTTTTTGGGGCCTTTTTTTCACCCATTTTTTTTCTTATTTGTAAAAACCAGAAGATACATTTAGAATGAAGTAAAAAATTTTAAAATTTTAATTTTTGGAAAAATTTTTTTTTCAATTTCCAGCTGAAAAAGATGCATTTTTAGCTCAAAAAAGGAACTTCCAGCCTATGAAAATCCCCAAAACCACTAAAAATCGACGAAAATCGAGGTTTTTCCAAAGTTTGCACCCATGGCCTAGTGGATTTTTGGACGCGAAACTCAACACCAGGGTTCGATTCTACCTGGCGGCAAACTCTTTTTGCTTTTGTGCAGAGCAAGATTTGAAGGTTCTGGAAGCTTCTAGATGCTCGAATTCCAGAATTTCGAATTTTGCTGAAAATTTTAAAATTTCAAAAAATAATTTTTTTCAAAAAAATTTTTTTTCGCATTTTCAGCTCATTATGATGTATTCATCTAAAAAGTTGTTTTTTTTTCTAGATGAATAATAATGAAATGACGAAAAAAAACAGAAAAAGGGACAGAAAGCAGAAAATCAGAAAATCAAAAATCTCAGAAAAACAAGAAGAGGAAAAAAAGGGAAAAATAGATAAGCTGACCACTAGGATGAGCAATCTTATCATTTGGAAATTCTGAGAAAAAAAAATTTCAAAAAAATTTTTGAAAATCTATTTTTGACTAAAAATCTTGAATTTTTTTATTTGGATCTTCAAAATGAGTATAAATCAGTCGGTACGCCCCTTAGGGGCTAAACCCCCTGGGCTCCGCTTTTAATACCCATAATCTTATGAAGAGGAGGACCCAGGACCCAGGACCCAAGACCCAGGACCCAGGACTTCATATCATGATATCAACAAAAAAATCTGTGATCCATAAGAAGAGCGTCCATTTGAACTAGATTATCTTGTTTCCTGGTTGAGATATCAAAAAAGTGTCAACTGATAAAATGTTTATCATAATATCAGCTGCAATTTATCAGTTGACCACTTTTTGATATCTTACACAGAAACCGAGATACATTGGCTCAAAGTTAAAAGGCTCAGTGTGTGACTTTGAGCTTGAAAGCGGTTGAATAATAAAGTTCCATTTTTCTAGCATACCGTGGCTGGCATATTCAGATTTTGAAATAAAAATTAATTAGTGATGATCTCGACCTAGGTGACAAAAAAGCATTTTTTGAAAAAGAGACCCCGCGAAATTTGTAAACTACCGTATCCCCATCAATTTTGGATTTTGAGTTTCGAAACATGATCATTTGAATTTGACGCGTTTTGAGCTTCAAAAAAAGTATAAACACGTCTAGGTTTGTAGAAATTTCAAAATTTCAGAATTTTTCGTGGTGGGACCCAAAAAACGAAAATTTCAAAAGTAGGTCATGATTATACTCATTTTGAAACTCTTAACTTGACAAATTAAAAAATCTGGGTTTCAAATCCCAAAATTCCCAGAGATACGGTAGTTTTATCGGCTGAACATAAAAACTGAGCAATGCGGAAAAACTACCGTATCTCGGTTAGTTTTCGAGCAATCTTAGGGAAAAGTTAAATATTTGAATTTGTTGAGTTTAGAGCTTGAAATTGAGTATAAACATGACTAGATTTGAAAAATTTTTGATTTTTCGATTTTTTGGCGCCAAATTTGAAATTTCGAAACTTTGAAAATTTCACAAACCTAGGCAAGTTTATACTCATTTTGAAGCTCTTGACACAACAAACTCAAAAATCCAACTCTTGTAAAACCAATTTCAAAATTCTCGGAGATACGGTAGAAAATATCTTTTTTAAAAAATATTCCCCCCGTGCTAGATCACTAGGGGGTGGGGTGTTTTTGGGGTGGAAAAAAACAAATCAGATTAGCTCTCCATTTTGCCATGTGCTTTTGGTTTTTTCTCACCTTGTTTTTTTTCTAATGACGAAAAAAATTTTTTTTGGAAAAAATTTTTTTTGAATCAAGACCTAAAAATACGTATTTTAAGATAAAAATACACATTTTACGTACTAAAGGAAGCCATAAAATTTTGATTCATTTAAAATTTTTTTTCTGATCTGACGTTTTCTTCAAATTTCTTACTACACACACATTTAACCCAAATTTAGAGTCTAAAAACTAGATTGAGAGCTTATTTTTAGGTTAAAATAATTGAAAATTTGAGTTCTACACCCTGAAAACCCCATAGAGAAGTTTTTGGCTCAATTCGCCTACTGTTAGATTGTTTTAAAAACCTTGAAACTGAAATTTCTGAATTTTGGGGTTAAACTTTTTCTTTCGAATCCCAAACTTTAAAAAAATTTTATGTCTTGATGGTTTTATGCTCATATTGAAGCCCCAAACTAGATAAATTCAAAAATATAACTTTCCCTAAGATTGCTCAAAAACAAACCGAGATACGGTAGTTTTTCCGCATTGCTCAGTTTTTACGTTCCATCGATCAAGCTACCGTATCTCCGGGAGTTTTTTGAATTTTGGAATGAAAAATAAATTTTTGAGTTTGTCGTGTTTAGAGCTTTGAAATGCGTATAATAATGACCTACTTTTGAAATTTTCGATTTTTGGGTCCCACCACGAAAAAATCTGAAATCTTGAAATTTTTTCAAACCTAGTCGTGTTTATACCCATTTTGAAGCTCTTAACGAGATAAATCAACATATAAATGTTTCAAAGCACAAAATTTAAAATTGATGGGGATACGGTAGTTTTGCCGGACCATATTTTTTGAAAAAACTTTTTTTCGCTAACTAGCCCAAGATTATACTCATTTTGAAGCTCTTTGAACGCTGAATTTAAATTTCTGACTCAATAGTTGAATGAATCGAAGCTGAGCATTGTAAGGTATACTGTAGCCTTTCTTCATTTTCGTCAAATAATAGGATTAAATAATGAAATTTGATCTCTTCTTTTTTTGGTTTATAAGATTATTTTTTGTATTTCATCATTTATTATTCTCAGAAATTTCTGTCTGGGAGACTGCTAGAAGAGCACAAGTCAGAAATATTTTTCAAAAAATCTGAAAAATTTGTTTTTTTTCAAATTTTTTCATTAAAATTCTGGAAAACTAGAAAAATTCAAAAATACCAAATTCCATGTAAGATCACTCTCTCTGAAAATTTCAGCGTTTTCAGGAAAACATATTTTTGAAAAAAAAACTTTTTTCAGAATTTTTGATTTTCACCTGTTTCTGATTTCTAGGCGGAATTAGTTTTTTTTCATATTTTTGTTAGAAAAGACACTAGAATTAAATTTCTAGCACGAAATGAATCAAAAAACTAGCTAGAAGTTTTTTATTCTAAAAAATGTTTTTTCGAAATTTTTAAATTCGTGGGTTAGGTGCTTCAAATGATCATAAATCTAGAACTAGTGAACATATAACAATGAATTTTATATTATTCAATAGAACATAAAATTTCACACATTTTAGTAGTAAATCACTTTTTGATTGCTCGATTTTCCCGCGAGATATGCGCCTTTAAGGCGCATATCTCAGCAACCAGTTGAGCTAGAAAGTTGATTTTTGGCTCATTTGAAGTTTGGATTTTGATTTCTGTTGTGTCAAAATTTCAAAACGAACCAAAAATTTTCAGCTATTTTTTCAGACTTTTTAAAATTTTAAGATTCCAAAAAACTAAAAAAAAATCATATTTTTTGTTAGGTTTTTCAAATAACCATAGAACTGGAACTAGTAAAGCTAAAACAACGAAATTTATACCAAACAATAGGAATTAAAATTTCACACAATTTTGTAGTTAAACACCTTTTGATTGCTAAACTTTCCCGCGAGATATGCGCCTTCGAAGAGACGCAGACACTCTAGCTTCTCTACGTCTCTTTAAAGGCGCATATCTCGACAACCTGCTGAGCTAGGAAATAGATATTTGATTTATTTGAAGCTTGGATTGTAGTTTTTGTGATGTCAAAATTTCAGAATGATCCGAGAATTTTTAGCTATTTTTTCAGACTTTTTAAAATTTGAAGGTTCCAAAAAACCAAAAAAAAGTCAAATTTTTTGTTAGGTATTTCAAATGACCATAAAACATGAACCTGCTGATCTAGATTTATAAATTTTTTTTATAGTTTGATAGAAAATGAAATTTCACACATTTTTGTAATTTATCCCTTTTTGATTGTTCAACTCCTGCGCGAGATATGCGCCTTTAAAGATACGCAGACACTCTAGCTTCTCTGCGTCTCTCCAAAGGCGATATCTCAAGAACTAGTTTAGCTAGAAAGTTGATTTTCATGCAATGTAAAGTTTTGACTCTGTTTTTTATTTTCCCAAAACTTCAACACTCTCCCTAGATTTTCAGCCATATTTCCAGACATTTTAAAACAGCGAAAGTGTCCGCGTCTCACTAAAGGCGCATATCTCGATAACCAGTTGAGCTAGAAAGTTGATTTTTAGCAAATTTAAAGTTTCAAACTAGGTTTTTATGTTCTCAAAATTCCAGGTTCCTCCAACAGTTTTCAGCTACATTTCCAGACTTTTAAAGTTTTGGGTTACAAAAAAAAAAGTTCCAAAAAATCAACTCATTGTTATTCCTTTGATCATTATCATAACATTATCATAACAATGCTTTTACAGACTAGTATTGCTCATTTTTCTCATTATTTCACCCTGTTTTTTGTTTGTATAATGAGAAAACATGTATATATTCTATACAAAAACATTTCCGCTTTCAATAACAAACTTTTTCTCTTTTTTCTTCATTTTTTGGTTTTTTCTTCA